ATGATTAGCCAATAAGTGTTGCCTGGGTTCTGGAAATTTTCCCATTATTACTTTTTGAGTGAGTCTCCCTCTGTCACCCAGGCTAGAGTGCAGTGGTATGATCTCAGCTCACTGCAACCTCTACTTCCCAGGTTCAAGCAATTCTCCTCCCTCAGTCTCCCAAGTAGATGGGATTACGGGCACCCAGCTAATATTTGTGTTTTTAGTAGAAACGGAGTTTCACCAGGTTGGCCAGGCTGGTCTCGAACTCCAGACCTCAAGTGATTTGCCTGGTTCAGCCTCCCAAAGTGCTGGGATTACAGGCATGAGCCACTGTTCCTGGCCCCCTATTAGTTTCTTAAACTTACCTTCCCTCATTAAGCCACCACTGTAGTAATTTATCACTAGACATAACACACAGAGAAAAACTGCTGTCAACTACATCATCGGTTCTCAAACTTTAGCTTGTATCACATCACCCCTGAAGGCTTGTTAAAACAGACTGCAGGACCCTATCCCCAGAGTTTGATTCATAAGACTATTGCCATAGCAAGTCAACAAGTCTTGGTATAATTTAAGCTTACAGCTCAAGGAGATCAGCTGGGAAAAGATAAAAGTTCAAGAATAATACATCTAAACTATACCAAACACTTTAAAACATGTGTGCCTGCACACATCATGCTCAGGCTTTCATGCACATCATGCTCAGGCTTTCACGTTCTCTTCCTCCTCTCCCAATTAATCAATTTAAATGAACCATGATATGCACACCTGAATTCAATTTCTTGGAAACACAAACATCTCCAATTAACTCAGGTTTTAAAAATGATGTTAAACAAAACACTAAACGTAGAAAAGGACCAAACTAGTATTTCAACTCCCTCATTTTCAGTCCCAGATTAAAAACAAAACAAGGCTAAGGCACAGTGGCTCACACCTGTTATCCCAGCACTTTGTGGGGGGGGGCGGGGTGGTGGTGATGCAGATCACCTGAGGTCAGCAGTTCGAGACCAGTCTGACCAACATGGAGAACCACCCCCCGCCCCTGTCTCTACTAAAAATACAAAATTAGCTGGGTAAGGTGGTGCATGCCTGTAATCCCAGCTACTCAAGAGGCTGAGGCAGGAGAATTATTTGAACCCGGAAGGCAGAGGTTGCAGTGAGCTGAAATCGCACCACTGCACTCTAGCCTGGGCAGCACAGTGAAACTCTGTTTCAAAAAAAAAGAAAGAAAGAAAGAAAACCATTTTTTAATAATAGCAATACTGGTTAAGATTTAAAAAAAAAACCCTGGCTTGGAGTGGTGGCTCACACCTGTAATCCCAGTACTTTGGGAGGGCAAGGTGGGCAGATCACTTGAGGCTGGGAGTTCAAGACCAGCATGGCCAACCTGGTGAAACAGTCTCTACAAAATACAAAAACTAGCTTGGAGGGCTGGTGGGGGGGG